AGAAACTTGTTGAAAATCACAAATTCGGTGGTTTTACGATCGTACATGTTAAAATATGCAAAATATAAGAGTTTTGAGAAACTTATTGAAAATCACAAATTCGATGGTTTTACGATCGCACATGTTAAAATATGCAAAATATAAGAGTTTTGAGAAACTTATTGAAAATCACAAATTCGATGGTTTCACGATCGTACATGTTAAAATATGCAAAATATAAGAGTTTTGAGAATCTTACTGAAAATCACAAATTCGATGGTTTTACGATCGCACATGTTAAAATATGCAAAATATAATAGTTTTGAGAAACTTGTTGAAAATCACAAATTCGGTGGTTTTACGATCGTACATGTTAAAATGTGTAAAATATAAGAGTTTTGAGAAACTTACTGAAAATCGGAAATTCGATGGTTTTACGATCGTACATGTTAAAATATGCAAAATATAATAGTTTTGAGAAACTTATTGAAAATCACAAATTTGATGGTTTTACGATCGCACATGTTAAAATATGCAAAATATAAGAGTTTTGAGAAACCTACTGAAAATCACAAATTCGATGGTTTTACGATCGTACATGTTAAAATATGCAAAATATAAGAGTTATGAGAAACTTGCTTAAAGTCACATATTCCATGGTTTTACGATCGTACATGTTAAAATGTGCAACATACTAGAGTTTTGAGAAACTTGTTGAAAATCACAAATTCGGTGGTTTTACGATCGTACATGTTAAAATATGCAAAATATAGGAGTTTTGAGAAACTTATTGAAAATCACAAATTCGATGGTTTTACGATCGTACATGTTAAAATATGCAAAATATAAGAGTTTTGAGAAACTTACTGAAAATCACAAATTCGATGGTTATACGATCGCACATGTTAAAATATGCAAAATATTAAAGTTTTGAGAAACTTATTGAAAATCACAAATTCGATGGTTTTACGATCGAATATGTTAAAATGTGTACAATATTAGAGTTTTGAGAAACTTATTGAAAATCACAAATTCAATGGTTTTACGATCGCACATGTTAAAATATGCAAAATATTAGAGTTTTTAGAAACATTGAAAATCACAAATTCGATGGTTTTACTATCGCATATGTTAAAATATGCAAAATATTAGAGTTTTGAGAAACTTATTGAAAATCACAAATTCGATGGTTCTACGATCGCACATGTTAAAATATGCAAAATATTAGAGTTTTGAGAAACTTATTGAAAATCACAAATTCGATGGTTTTACGATCGCACATGTTAAAATATGCAAAATATTAGAGCTTTGAGAAACTTAATGAAAATCACAAATTCGATGGTTTCACGATCGAATATGTTAAAATGTGTAAAATATTAGAGTTTTGAGAAACTTATTGAAAATCACAAATTCGATGGGTTTACGATGGAATATGTTAAAATGTGTAAAATATTAGAGTTTTGAGAAACTTATTGAAAATCACAAATTCGATGGTTTCACGATCGTACATGTTAAAATGTGTAAAATGTAAAAGTTTTGAGAAACTTACTGGAAATCACAAATTCGATGGTTTTACGATCGCACATGTTAAAATATGCAAAATATTAGAGTTTTGAGAAACTTATTGAAAATCACAAATTCGATGGTTTTACGATCGTACATGTTAAAATATGCAAAATATAAGAGTTTTGAGCAATTTACTTAAAGTCACAAATTAGATGGTTTTGCGAGCGTAAATTTAAAATGTGTACAATAT